TTTAATTTAATCCTCGGCGTTGTATGCATCTTATGATGATAGTCCAATGCGACAGTATATCTGTATAAAGAAGTTTTGAAAGGTCTTCCAAGAGCCCCGATGACCAACAAATTTTGATATTGGTCCATTACAACGAGGTGGAACATGAGTGCAACAGTTCCCCGGCTGTCCCATGATCTTCATATGCAGCCTCAGTTTCAATAGTTAATGTTCCCGAAAGATTGCATGAGAGACCACTGCTTGTAAGAAAATCCGTCGTTTATGTCCCTCTCACTTCTGGGCGCTGAAGAATTCTTTTAGTATGGTGCACAGAACATCGATTCTGGAGCAGGGATTAATAGAAGACTTTTATTTACTGATTCTTCCAGATTCAACCTGACCACTTATTCTTAACACATATTCATCTGGAAGAGACCAGAGTGAGTGAGAAAATATTAACGTTGTACTATTCAGCTACTCGATGGCTTTTGGAGACGGAATTCGTAATTTTGAACCATGATCAAGTGATGAAAACGACACCTGAGCTGCAGCCCCCGCCCCTCTCCTTACTTCCCCACCTATGGGAGGACGTTGGAGCCTCGACATATTTAACGTGTATCGGCTCTTCTACGCGGCGGCTAGTAACTGACTCTGTTAGAGACATGGATCTGCTGTTAAGTGTAGGAATGAAATCCAGGAGCCCTAACTTCACCTCTTCAAGGGTGCGATTGACCCAGATTTTACTTTTATGGATGACAATGCTCGTTCACATTGGGTTCATTCGGCCGAATCTCTGAATAGTGACGATATTAGATCAATGGATTGACCGGTAAAATTTCCAGCCTTAACCTTATAGAGCATTGATAAGGTACTCTTGGGTACACTTGTGACTCATTTTCCCCGTCCTGAAACCATGTAAGACCTTTAAGCAGTGTTACTAGACGATTGGAACAAATTGTCACATAAACTGTCTCATTTCCAGAATGAATACCCATTGTGAAAGGTATATAATTTCTAGAAGAAACCTTTACTTTTTATTACACCTTTTTTTCAACTTTTTTTCTGGAATTTATTTACGCTGATGAGTCTTACAACTGTTCACGCGTATGTATTATAACTGTTGTGTGGCAATTTATTTTTTACTATTATATCGCAACCTAAGTATACATCTAACATTTTTTTTAAAAAAATTAGTTAGGTACTTCTGGAGGTAATCAATCAAAAGTAAAAAAATTCTCTGAATTTTAAACACATATGTATACATTAAATATACTTAAATATCAACCTTATAAAAAGATAGGAAGTATAGCATCTGAAATCTTTCGATTTTTTTTTCATTTTATTGTAGAATTAAGAGAGGAAAAAAGTCAACCATCATAGAGCGACTAGATTTTTAAATATATAAATATTGCTCCGGCGATTTTAATTAAATTGTTCCATTAATTTTTAATTTGGTAAATGCTTATATCAAGGTGACTCAAATTTAACGACGTGAAAAACTTTACGTAAAGTAGACGCAGAAAATAAAATTATTCTGCATTTTAGTACTTTTTCAGTTGAGCTTTCATGTAGCTTAATATATATGATGAAAAATTTGTGCTTTTTCTTCCAAGCAGAGATTAATGTATAAAGAAAAAAATTATAATTGGAACAAAGATTAATTTTTCAAGGGACTTGGAAAAAAACAAGTTTAAGAAAATAATGGTCAATTTCCAATAAAAATCGTCATTATAATTATAAGAAATATAATTGTAATCAAAATGTTAAAAAAAGTTAGCAATGGTAAAATATTCTTCGTGGCATTGTATAGGAACTTGAAGTAATGCTCATAAAATAAATCATTATAGTTAGAGAAATTAAATTTTTTAAAACTTCTACATGACGACTTCCTTTTTTTTATTATTTTTTTTTGCCAATCCTTGTCTTTTAATAATGATAAAACAAGAAAAAATTCAACCTGTGTCCATATGTTTTGTAAAAGAGTTCAAGTGAAATGCATTAAAATTCCGTTTAAGAAAAGCTATTTACTCCCATATTTTTTTGGTACCATGTAAAAATTAGAAGCAATTCTTATTCGTATTTAAATACTATATTCAAAATAATACACCATGTAACTGAGCATTAAGATACCAAGATATTACCAAGTATTTTACTAAATGTTTTATTATTTTAACTACGTTTTTAATTCATATATTAGAGCATTTGTGTGTGTGCAGCATAAAATATATTACTACACATTTAAGGGATATATCTTTTCTCTCTCTCTTCTATTTCTATTACTATTTCAAACACACTGGAGACAAAAATTATAACCAAAATGAAATTCGGTATTGCGTGTTTTAATTATGAAGATAGCTTAAATTTGCTGATGCGATATGATTGAGAAAATCTAAAATTGTTATTATTATTATTATTACATATAATATGAAAAAAAATCAATTTCCATTTAACCTTTAACATATTCAAAAAAAATAAGCATGAATTATTAATTAAAGAATCCATGAAGATTATTCAGGATTTTTGACATATACATATATCTGTACTCACACACATCAAAATATATATAGTAATATTTAAAGCGTTTGATATATAAATTTTCTATTCATGTTTAAAAGAGAATTTTCAATTTTTTTTTATTTTGCTAGTATTTAATAGAAATATAACTATATGTTTAATTAATAATCATGTTTGCATATATTGTGCATTTTTACTCTTTTATATTTCTCTTAACAGGCTCCTACCATCGTCTATTTTACTTATGAATATATTAATATCGTGAAAGTAGAATATTCCAAACATTAGGTCTCAAAATAAAATAAACAGCATCTGTTGCATCAAATAATCTTCTAAAAGACTATTGTTGAGATTTGATCATAAGAAATCTGCGTTTCAGTAGTGTGAGAATTTATAATCGCATGAAAGAGAAATCGAATTGTTGTTCTATTTGAAAACAAGTAAGTGCTTATGACTTTTAAAAATTTTTGTTCACATTAAATACAACAAAAGAATCTAAACTAAACTAAAGAAAAAGCACAAACTTTTTGCTGAAAATCGCGATTGAAAATTGCATCATACAAGTTAAATAATAGATGCGAACATTTATTCGCCTTATTACATTGTCTGAGTGCCAGCTTAGCTCTCAGATTTCAAAATTTAATAAAATTAAATTCTATAAACTTCGCAATTGAACATTTTATAATTTAAACAAAAACATGTTTATTTTGAATAAAAAGTTTGAGATCGGAGTAGATAGCATATATTGCAATTTTATACAAGAATAACTGCAATATTATTGCGGAAAAGAAATAGGTATAAATCCAAAGTGATTTCTTATTTATTGAGACTTATTTACATAATAATGGATATTTACAGAGACAGAAGCACTACATTCCGATACAAAAGTTTGTAGAAAATTTTATTATTGCCACATTATATAAAGCGATGTACGAAAGAGTTTATGTTTTTAGTTACCTTTTCTTTTGCGGATATACGTTTATTGTTATTTTAAGACATAAGTATTAATAAAATTCAAAGACAAATTTATTTTAAACATCGTAACATATCTAATTCTAATTCTAAAAATAAGTTTGTACGCTTCAAGCATTTTTAATCCCTCATTTAAGAGGTAATGTTCGCAAAGTGTGCTTTTTCTGGCATCGGACTATCATTTAATACTTTTGAGACGGCCAGAATGCTTACTATAACATTAATAAAATAGTTTGTTCTTCATTGCTGTGTACTGAAACATTTCAAATATTTTGTATTAATATATAAATATCATGTCTGGCTATATTTACTCATAATAATTATAAAGAATTGCATTTAAGAAGAAAAAGTAATAGAAATATCGTATTATTTGACTTTGCACGATATAAAGAAATGTTTCACGTGAATTTATCTCTGAGACTTAAAAGCGCCTAAGTAAAATTGTTCAAGTGTACTGCTATACATAAAAAAAAAAGCTATGTTTATACTGTTTTTCAGATATAAACTTTTAAAATTGTGAGATTTGAAACCGGTAGATGAGTTTCAATTAATTATTCCTAGTTTCATTTTCTCAATTTTATGGTTGATTACCACTAAATAACTTTCATCTCCTTTGAAAAAATTTTTTATAAAATTAACAATCTCAATGTATTAACTTTTACAGAGTTAACTGACTGCGTTATGTTTTAGTAAACTGTTGCTTTTTTCTAAATATACGTAATTATCATCAAACTTTTTAAAAAATTAAAGAATAGAAAAATAATAAGGGCTAAAAAAGCTTAAAATGTTTTAAATTTTGTACCGTAATATGTTTTCAACGAATCTTTTCATGTGTTAGCTTTGATTTTCTCAAATGCATCGCACATGAAATTTAAAAGAATATAAGTTATATGATATCTCTTATAGATTGAAATACTCAGTTCAAATGATGTTCAGGGATTTGAAAGCAAATTTTTTTAGACTTTTATTTAAAAAAAATTTTTGCAATAAATTTCATCGGATGTAATAATATGTATTATTACATCTGATTATCATAAAATTATTTCACATATATGTGTCGAAATGCATATACCCTCCTCCCATTTCTAATATTCTCTTATTACTCCAGGTAGTTATACTTTTCATAGTGAATCTCCAAAATTCCAGTGAGATGTGAGCCTTAATTTTGGTTATGAATCTGAATCGTTACTTTTAGGCTTCCTTGACAGATTTACTATTTCTTTAAAATGTATTATGAACAAGCAATATAAAAAAAAATTAAGTCATTATTCCTACTTCGTTCAAAAAAGAAAAATTTTATTTTCGTTACTTTTTGTTAAATAATTACAATTAATATAAATATGTAAATACATATGACAGAATAACAATATTCAGTGGCAAAATAGAAAGCGATTTTCCTTGAAATTTTCCATTTTCCTTTCTATATAAAATGTTGGACTATTATTTTTGTTTTGTTGCAATTTATTCATTCATTAAATTTAATTATTCCAATAAAATAGCATAGTAAAAAGGAATCACATTCTCAGAAATTAAACCATCCCAGGTGGGATTCGAGCCCACGACCGGTGGACTAAAAGTCCAAAGCGCTATCTTTTGCGCTACAGGGACACAACAAGCGATTTTCCTTTTTATATATGGTGTTGGACTGTTATTTTTTGTTTGTTACTGTTTATTCATCAATTAAAATTAATTAATTTGAAAAAAAACTGCATTAACATCAAATGTTCTCCACTACAAGTTTAAAAATGTATTTGAACTTGAGTGGATGAATAAAAAGTATTTTATTAACGATTGAAAATTTGAACAAGATATATATATATATATATATATATATATATATATATATATATATATATATATATATATACATATATATATACATATACATATATATATACATATACATATACATATACATATATATACATATATATATATATATAATCCAAAACATAAAAATATACAGATAGTTAGAACCTAAGATAACTATACTAAATAGGAAGAAATGGGCACAGTAGTACTATAACAAACTCCTGGCCTTAGGAACCAAGATTGCAGGTTTAAACAAGTTTTAGGGCTAGCCAACCTTCACCTGTAGTTTGTCATACTACGTACCAAGAGGAAAGGAAAGAATAACATTTGGGGGAATTTAAACATTATAATAAAATCACTAAACTAATAAAATATAATTATAAAATTATAGCCTACTAGTATTCACATTATAGATTTAAATTCGATGCAAAACGTAGATAGTAAGACTTACTTCGGGAATGTATCAACTGGTTATGTTTCCCGCCAAATACAAGAGAGGGAAAACAGTTCCGCAAAAAGTTAAATATATATTGATATATTGATATCATAAATATATATTGATAAATATTAGTGTAAACTATAAATGAATCCTAGAAATATTTAAATATTATTGAATTATTAAACATGGGGCGCCATCTATTTAATAATTGTATAATTAGTTTAAAAAACCCATAATGTCAATAAGTTAGTAATACAAATTGTATATCATTAAGAACTATTAGAAATATAATTGTAAAGAAAGTTAGCAGGATATCCATGTCCTATACATTGTTTGATAAAGTTATTAATGTTTAAATAAATATTAGCTTTATCACTAACTAAAACATTGTTACGATAAATATAGTTAAAAATAATATTTCTATATATAGATATTGATAAATTTGAATTCCAGTAAGGCACTTTAAGAATGTTAAAATTAAAAGCATCTCTTTTATCATAAATATTACTATGTAATTTCAAATCCTTAATATACAATGTTACATCTAAGTAATTAGTTTTAATTGGATTATTATTAGTTTTAACTAAGTTTAGGTAAGCAGAATAAAAATTAATATTGGGATTTAAATTATCATTTTTACCAAAAATAATTAAATCATCAATATATCTAAAATGTAATAGTCATTATTAATAATATAATTATATTCATAAAAGTGTAAATATAAATTAGCCAAACTATTGTCTACTCGGCCTCCTTGTGGCAGACCTTTGTATTGTTTATATAATGAACCATTAAAGTTAATGTATTTTTCTTTTAAGACAAAATCTATGAGAGTTTTAAATTTGTTAAATTAATATTAAGATTATAAATACTGTGGTTTTGTAAAATCACTTTAATAATATCATTGATATCAATGGAATTGAAAAGATCTTCAAAGTCATAACTATGAACTGAATAAATATTTTTATTTTTGAAAAAATCCATAATATCTTTTTACTATTTTTAATTACAGCTTTATTACATTGCTGATTAATAAAGCTTTGTATAATATTATGAAGTAATTTGCCTGCAGTGGTAACATGTTTTAAAACCATTTGTCATATATATATATATATATATATATATATATATATATATATATATATATATATATATATATATATGCATGCATGCATACATAGGGAGTATGTGAACTAATAGTAGAAATGAAAAGCAATTTGAATACAGAAAAGTATGCTTATTTAAACTCTCTGATGCAAAATTTAGCTACGCAAAAAATAAATCCACAGATTTAAACCAGATTTCTTATTATCACTTGCGGTTTTTTTAATTTCCCCTATTGTACAAAGTAAGTTTCTGATAGTATTTTGCTATATAACCATGAAAGAGTGTTTGTTAGCATTGCGCGCGCGCGCTGCACTCTAAGGCAACGAGAGGTCTATTGGCAAAGGAACTCGTAATTGGGAGCTAGCACCCCACTTTCTGAACTTCCATACTATGCCAACGAGAGAACTTTGAGCCTCATTGAACTAGTGGTGAAAAATAGTTCAAAATAAATGCAACCCTTTTTAATTTACTGATTTCTGAAATACTTCTCCGAATCATTGTTTCGTTTTTTATTGCGTCCTTATTTTTACAGGAATGCGGGGTTTTTTTTTCTTTTTTTAAGAGGTTATCATCGTAAAAGGATACTGCTACTGACTTGGAGGTAAAGTCATGATATTTTACATTAATTTTAATTGTTATTACTTTTTTGATCTGATGGATAGAAACAAGTGAAATTTCTTAAGACAAAGAAACATTGTAGTTTTTACAGATTTTTTGATAATTTATTTTAGAATTCAAAAGACGGCAGCTTATACCGATAATAAAATTTACAACTGTGTATTGTTAGTTGGAGTAATAATTTTAATGAGATTATCTGACATAAATAATGTATCTGAATAAAGCCTTTTCAATGAAATTTAATTTTTTGGAATTTAATTTTTAGAAATCCAGTTTAGAAGAAAATACCAAAAGTAATCATTCCTTAAATTAGTGTAATTTTAAAAAATGAATTAATCTGAAGACGTTTAATAATTATATTTTTCCTTTGTAATACCTTGATTTATTTTAAAGTAACTAATATAAATATTTTTCATTGTTGATTGTTAATAGAAAGTCCGACTAACATTATGAAACTGAATGTAATATTTTTCTTTCAGTGGTTATAAACAACTTTAAAAAATTATAAGTAATATGCAGTCAAATAACAAGCAATCAAAATGAAGTAATATTCTATTTTATTTCGAGTTACATTTCTTTTTAAGGATTATGATATATTTTTAAATTAAAATAAAAAATATTTATAAATAATTTTAAAACTTACTGGAAATGATAAAAAATTGTAAAAAACTAAAGAGAAATAACAATATAACTATTACTCTGCATTGCACTTAGATGAAATGGCTCGTATCTCTAAACATGCAATACAATATCAAAATATTTATTGAAACAAAACATTTTGATATGAATTAACTTAAAACCTTTACATGAAAGATTGTTAAGTTGAATTGGTTGTGATAAGAAGGTGTGAGATAATTCAATAAATTACTACATGAAAAGGCTAAATAACATTCTATGAAAAAGAAAATTCTCCTCCACTCCATTTCAGTTAAAATAATTTTATTAAAACTTAATTTTTATACTAAGGAAGAGATAAATAACTTGCATTATGGAGAGCTTGTTTTTTGTATAAATAATAATTTGTCTGTTAATACAAGAAACTTTTTATGTATCGTAGTTGAATTGCGAAATTGTGAATATTTTGTGAAGTTCAACTTTTTTTTTAAAAAAAATTAAGCAATTATGTTTGTGTTTTAAAGTTGTTAAACACTTTTAAATTTCACTTTTTCATATTCCCAAACTTTATTTGAGACATCGTATTAATATATAAATATATATAAACACTTAGCCTAGAGAGCTTATAATACTGTTATTTTCAAATGTTTAAAAAATTTTGATTGCAACTTTCGCATGGTTTTTTTTGGTTGTGTGACACGTGAAAAGATTTTCAGCGTGTATTTTACACTTTAAATAAGTGATATAACACTCAACTGAATGTTAGTGAAATAAAAGGAGCTGTACGCTTTTTTATATGTCAACCCCGATTTACTTTACGTGTGAGTAGTTTTGAAGAAAAAACTAAAACTATAAGTAAAATATTTATAAATAGAGCTTTAATACATGCTTAATTATATCATAATTCTGATGTATAAATTTAAGGATAACTAAATTCTTTACAAAGTGAAAAAAATCTCAATGGAGTTAGATAATAATTGGTTAAGCCTTACACCTCCCCATGTACGTTATTTTTTATATTCTGATCATGAAGTAGTAGATGTTGCTAAAATTATTTTTTATTAACTAATGACTGACTTAAATGAAATATTTTACACTTTTATTTTTATAATTACTTTTAAATAGATAACTGATTTATTGGACATCTTTTGAAGTTTCTTTATCGCTGTTATTTTTGTACATGTACCATTTCTTGTTTTCCTGTCCTTCAAGTTCGATGATTAAATCCTTATTCCAGACATATCAGTCTTAAGACTTCGCTCAGATGACCATCTTTACTTCCCAAATGATTATGCTGCATTTCATATAAGACGACGACTGAATATCTGAAATCTTTCAACTCCAAAACAATTTAAACCTCTGATAATCTTAATCTTATTAGATCTTCTGTTTTAGACGCTTTAGACAGGAAGCCAAGTCTTTCTTAAGCAGTTCTGTGTAAGCTTTCTAGCACAAGAAGCTTATAAATCAAAGTCTGAGAATCTGGCTCCAGCTTAGATGGTCCCATATTTGATCCTTGTTCAAGAGAAGTCAGTTTCTTTGACAACAAATAAAAATAAAACATTAGAGATTGTTCAAGGTTGTTCTGAATTCATTATTGCTTAGAATTTTAAATAAAAATCCTAATTTTAAGAAATAAATAAAAATTTGAAATTAAGTATTAGGAATATTTCACAGTAAAGTGTGACATAAATGAGAGAAGATCAAAATGCTGTGTTAAGTTTCTCTTTAGCTATTCATATAGATATTCAGCAAAATTATTTCATAAGATCTTATTTTATATATTTGTGTGAATTAGTCTTATAAACTTAAATTTTTAAATTATCACTTGAATTTATCTCTTCATTCCATACACATTAATTTCTTAATTTTTAATCATTTAATTAATTAATTGTCCGATACAAACATTAAATGTCAAAAAAGTCAATGTTCTACCGTCTATTTTTTAATTAAAGGGTTTACACAATACCATTTTTTTTTCAAGTAAATCGATTTCCTCAAAATAAAGGGAAGTAAT